GGTCAAGGTAACTGAGCCGCTTCAGGCTGACTGGGGAGTTAGTGTTGGGACGAAACTTGGCTGGACTGCGGCGATGTGTTTGAGAAAGTAAATGCTGGGGGTTATGTGCCTTGGCGGCTGCTCTTCGTGTATTTGTAAAGCAACCTTTATTGTTGCATCCCACCTGCAACAGAAAGGTTTCAGTCCTCTGGTTCTTCCACTTAAGAGAGCTCCAACACCAGTGCTTAAGAAACAGTTCCGTTTTCTCTCCTTTTCTCCACCATCTAGGTTTATGAGGTTGACTCTGTTCGCTGCCTATCTCCTCACAAGACTTTCAGGATCAAGAGCTTTCTAACTAAGAAACAAAACCAAATCGTCCAATTCCCCCAAAGAAGATGAAAACTTGTAATAAAATCAGGTACAACTTCAAGAGAAGACACTGGAGGAGAACCAAGTGGGTCAATAAAAATCGCACATGAAATGTATGCTATAGCAAGGTCACTAATATTTTACCATAAAAGCTGAATGAAAATATCCCCAGTATCTGGGTGTTGGACATGTTTGGGAATATGATTTTTCTCTGTTTCTATGCTCTGCACTAGTAAGCTGGTTTAGTAATAGATATGTAAAGCCTTTGGTTTGGGGGGAGGAGCTGGGGAAGCAGCCCCTCTGCCTCTGGAACTGCCCTTATTGCCTGGCTCTTTCTGATTCCTGATGCAAATCTAGTCGAGTTGCATCTGATTCTTCGGAATGAACCAAAGAACTTTGTAGCAAAAATAACATATTTCAGATCTTAAAGGTCTGCCATGTTGGAAACATTCAGATTAATGTTTGTGAATGAATTTTCTTTTTCTTAAACTATTAGGAGAGTCTCAATTATTTCCTGTATTTAAAAATACACCTCAGCCACTGTAACCATAAATTGGGGACATTCGGACAGCTTTCCTCTGAAGACACTTTGACAACATGATGAAAGACATCATCATCTAATGATGGAAGTAGGGTAAAGAGACAAAATTACAGATTCTACTATACAAATCAAAATTTTTGATTGTGCACAACTTGGCCCACTTTATTAGGATCCAGTTAGAAGTACCATACTAGAGCTGAAATTATAAGGTTAAAGATCCACAATGTTTGTCTGGAACTAAAGGAATTCTGCCCCTCTCTGCTTCAGTGCCATCTGCTGGCTACAGCCTTCTTGGTTATATAGAAGAAAAAAGTCACTACAGTGGCCTTCTAGAAGATGAAGTAGAGAAGCAAGCCAAAAAAGTCTTGAGTCAGGATAGAATCCTTGAGAAAACAGAAGTGGGGATGTGGTGGGGATGGAAAATACACAGAAACAACAAAAATGGAAAATATACAGAAACTTAAGACTGGCCAGACAGCCACTCAGATTAAATAGGCATGTACATACACACAAACCCCCTTCCCAAAAGAACTGTTCTGGAACACTCAAAACTGAACCAAAACAGAAATCCATATTGTCTAGGCCTTTAAAACTTTCAACTTTTGTCTAAAACAGTAGCAGCACTAGAATCATCACTAGCAACTGAAGTTAGTTTTTGTACCACAACTGGATAAAGATCCCAAATCATTCTAACCAGCTCCTAAACGTATTCACATTCACTAATCTAGACTGAATCATAAAGTTCATCTTCAACTCAAAAAATTCTTTCTTGATTACTCTGAAACTGCACTATCCTCACTGACCTTCTAATTGATTGTTCTGTTCTTTTTTTTTTTTCCTTTTCATTATTAATTGTGGTGACCAGTTCGGCTCCATGGCTTCAACTGTCACCTTTATAGGGAGTTCATAATTTGAATATCCTACCAGACAAGAAATAAAAACTGGACAGTTTTAAAAATATGTTCAATTGAGTTGGGGATGCAGTTCAGTGCTAGAGCACCTATGTTTTATCCTCAGCATTTAAAAAAATTTAATAAATACATTAGTTTTTAAAAATTAAAAATATGTTCACTTTTTTTCCTTTGTAAAATTGGGTTATAATGGTAGCTTCTTTCTAGGATTGTTGGAGGATTAAATGAAAACAATTTTTTTTTAAAGATAGAGAGGAGAGAATTTTATTTTTAATATTTATTTTTTTAGTTCTCGGCGGACACAACATCTTTGTTGGTATGTGGTGCTGAGGATGGAACCCGGGCCGCACRCRYKCCAGGCGAGCGYGCTACCAGTTGAGCCACATCCTCAGCCCCTGAAAACAATTTCTAGCATGAAGTATTGCTCCATAAATGTTAACTATTATTGCTGTTGTTAATTTGTTTAAAATTTTTTACTCATGTCTGCTATGTGCTGGGTGCTTGCTAGATTTGCAGAGAGAAAAAAATAAGTCCCTGCTCTCAGAACAAAATAAATTAGGTAAGATAATACGAATAAACAAATTTTAATAGTATACATATATTATCTTCATTATTTTAAAATATTTGCAGAATATTCTTTAAAGAAAAATGAGAGGTTCAAAAAAGGCACATGGGTGAAATCATGTAACTAGTTATGACCAAACCCGAATCTGTGTAACTTCAAAGTTCTCTTTCTGTTGTTATCCCACTGCCTCAAATTTCAATGCTTTCCACTGTTAACTGGTCTGGATGATTTTGTTCTAAGCATTAATGTTTCTGTCACCCTGGAAAACCCCATAGCCTCAATGCCATCCATCCCCTGAAGGCATGTCTCACATCAGGCCAAAGCCTGGGTCACTGGCTCTAGCAGCCCAACTGCAAGAAATAAACAGAGCCCCACAGGGCTGAGGGGCTCTCCATTCAGACAGCTCTTCCTCAGTTCATTTCAGCCTGCACTGGAGAACTGACAGTTGTTGCCAAATGCCTGTCAAAGAACAGTGGCCTGTTTGTTAGAGTTTTTGCGGTCATTGTAGTGAACAATAATCAGTCTTGGGTACTATGACTATGGCATTCTGGTTTAACCAAAGAATAAGTTCAATTGCAAAGGCACAGCTCACCAACAATAGCTTCATTTGAATTACAACATAATTGAAAAGGGATGTCTAGCAGGCCTTAATTTATGCGGCAAATATTTGTTCCAGGACTTTTAGATCTAAGGAATTTGCTAAAGTGAATGAGAAACAGAGTCTACTGTTAAACAGAGTTTAAGATTTAGTAGAAAAAGATAAGTTGTGTATAATAATAACAAAAAATATATATGTGGTAGAAAGAAATGTCAAAGAGGGCTGGAACTGTAGCTCAGTAGTAGAGGGCTTGCCTTGCCCGTATGAGGCACTAGGTTTGATCCTCAGTACCACATTAAAATAAATAAATAAAATAAAGGTATTATGTTCATCTACAACTAAATAAACAAAAAAAATTTTTAAAAAAGAAGTGTCAAAGAAAAATGAAAACCAAGTGTTTTTGGAGTATAAAGGAGAAACTTTGAATCAGGAGTCTCAGGTTAGACTTTATAAAGGAGCAGACATTTTAGCTGAGCCTGAAAGGCATGTTGCATCTCAATAGGTAGAAAAATATTCCAYTGGGGAAGAAACAGTAATCCAAGGCCTGGAGAGGGAAAGTACAAGTACGTGTGGGGAACAATATACTCTATTGCTCAGTCCCAACTCAAACCTTACTTGCTCAGGGAAAACTTCTTTGACATTCTTGGATCCTCTTTCTCCAACATAAGCTCTCAAAGCATTCAATGTCTATTTCATGTCCCATTGGTATACTGTGAGTTCATTTGCATTGTCTGTCACTTTATTCACAGTCCCATAGGAAGGGCTGATTACTTTACAGGAACTTCATAAATTCTGTTGCATGAATAATTGGAAGTGGCTTTGTGAAACTGGAATGTGGGGTTCATGAAAGGAATAGCAGAAGACAAAGCTATAAGGCAGGATCTTGCCAGGAGGTGGGGGGGGGGGGGACACAGCTAGCAGCTTTTGGTTTAGCCAAATACTGTCAAAATCCCCACATGGATATTAATACCTCTAAGTTTCAAAATAATCCTGTAAGCTTAGTAACTATTATTATCCTTATCTGACAGATGAAGAAATGGAKGTAATCAGAGGTCAAGTAAATTGTCCAAAGGTAACATCGCTAGGATTTCAGACCAAACCCATCTGACTTCAGAACCCAGATATTTAACCAAGGAGTACGGATACTATCTAGGAAACACATGGTTAAGACTGCAAAGGATTGTTGTGGAAATTTTGAAAGCCATATTAAAAATAATACTACCTCACTAAACCTAAAAATAGAGAATAGCATTGCAGAGATCTATACCAGGAGTGGGGTTAGGAATGGAGGTGGCATAGGAAGACAAAGCTACTGCCTGGATTTGTAGTCTGATGCTACCTTCCTGCTTTAACCCATCCATCACCAACACAGGTCTGAAACCCAAAACCCTTCTTTCCCTGTTTCTGATAATCCTACCCTGTCTTCCCTCCCAAATTATTCTTACATAGGCTCAGTTACACTTCTTCACATCAATTACCCTTTTCTGCTTCTCTGATTCAATCCTATTGTAAACAAATCTCATCATTACTATTACCTTTTCTTTAAGAACTCACTCCACTTTTTTTTAATATATATTTTTTTTAGTTGTCATTGGACACAACACCTTTATTTATTTTTATATGGTGCTGAAGAACAAACACAAGGTAGGCAAGCACTCTACCGCTGAGCCACAAACCCAGTCCTCCATTTTTGGTTATAACAAAAACCTGACTTTTCTGAGCAGTTAACTAAGTGTCTGGCACAACTCACAGCTGCATTCATTCAGTAATCATTTAGTGTAAGTACACTGTCCT